ACTTGAGGCGGAGACGGAATTTTCAAAGTGTTACGCCTCAGTAGAAGAGACGTCTTACAGGCGTCATTTGTAATTTCCGGGCGTCAATTGGCAAGTTCAGATTTTCCGGGCGTAAAATGGCAGGAAAATAGAAACAAAAATTACGCCTGGAACTTTCAGGAGAAGTAAAAGCCTCTGATTGGTCAATTTAATTATCAATTAAGGGTCATTTCAGATAGGAGGTTAAGTTTGAATTTGATCATAAAGGAGGGAGTTTAGTGTGAGTGAAACAGGAAATGCAGATATCTCAATGTTAAGGCTTTTACACTTTTTGAGGATGACACAGTGTACTCTGCTGGTAAGTGTGATCATGAATATCTAGTACCTATTTGAGTAAATTTGATTATGATTATGTACAATGATAGTTATAACTGGTTGACCCTAAAATTACTTTAGATATTTGAGTTTGTCCTTGCACACATTCTGAGAAATATCAGTCTGATAGAGGCTGCAGTGAGAATCTAACTGTAAACTGCTGAGTAAATGAAGAATTGTATTCAGTCAGTAACTAAAATGTTTCAATATAATTATTGAAGTGATAAAATGTACATGCAGGTATTGTAAAAAAGTTTAATTCTAAATACACACTCAATCATGGTGGTCGTGTTTTAGTGTCCCTAATGCACAAAATTCCTGTTATTTTTCTATACTTGTTAATGATATATGTTAATGACCTGTCATTATGTTTTCTTACAGTTCAAAAAGCTAAATTTTTAGCTTTAACATTGTAAATCATAATCTGAATGTTTTTCTTTGTTAACATGGTAAATATATAGGTTTTTAGGTCACATAGTATTATATAATAATAAGGACATTCCAGGCGTAATTCTATTCCAGGCGTCATTTTAGTTTCCAGGCGTAATTTTTTTACGGGCGTCATTTATTTTTACGGGCGTAGCTCATTTGCATTTTTCGCCTCAAATTCCTGCCCATTTACGCTTGGTTTCCGCCTAAGTTACGCCCGGAACCTGTGTATCACCATATATGTAGAGAGACAAATTGACGCCTCTCCAAGTACGCCTCAATTCCCCCTATATTCCAGGCGGAACATTTCATACAGGGAATTTCAACAAATTTGTTGGTGGGATAAAGGGAATAAAAAGAAGAAGGAAAAAATGCCCTGAAATTTGAAAAAAAAAGTTTTGAGTTGGGCCATATTTAGTCAGTTGGTCGAGAGAGGGCAACTAAACAATTTTTTAAGATGGCCTCATATGTCATATTAAACAAATGTTAAAACATGTAAAAGACAATTACAGCATGGAAATATTGACAGAAGAATTATTATTTCAATTGAGTACCGTGCATACTGGCCTATAAGTTGGTTGCATTTTTTAAGCTTGTAAATAAGAGAGGGATTGAGTCCGATTGACCCTAAAAGATACCAACCTTTTTTATAACTCACCTATAAGTCAGACTAAGAATTTTGGACCAAAGTTTAACTCCCCCCCCCCCCCCCCCAAAAAAAATTAGAGGCGAGTATATACGGTATATCTGATGAAATTTTGAATGGTCTGTAACATTTATGTGTTGATCTACATGTTCCAAACTTTTCTATATGGAAAAAGGATTTCCTGACATACATATATATAAATGCAATAGCTATAATATAGAGAATTTCTGTCTCACCCCTTTGAGGTTGTAACATCAGCTCGTGACCATATTTTTGTTTACATTTTAGTTTCATACCATGATCTTGCAGATCTGGAAATGAAATTATATCCCTCATCAAAAGCTACAAATCTTAACATTTAAAGTTAAACTCAATATATATTGTACACATTTATGAGTATACTGGAGGCTACAGAATTTATTTAGTAATGAAGGTCTCCAGAGTGTTGATACTACACATAAATGTAAAAATAAAAATGCACTTTAGATCTCTTGCTTAATTACTCAAGCCCTAGAGGGGCTTGAGTTATCTAAAACGATGCTAGGTCCTAGATTTACTCAGTTTAAAAACACACAAATATATCATATTTGTAGATGAAGATATTTCTAGAAACAAAAATGAAGCTTATCTTGAAAACGTCTGTATGTTCAAAGATATTAAGTGTTGAATATCGGATTCTATTCTATGGCGAATGAACAATGAGTAAAGCTCCGCAGCCGCAACAGTATCTATATACAGAGATTTTCGCGCTTTCCTTTGCGTAGGAATCTCAGGTAACTTTTTACAATCACCGATGAAGCACACTTGGACGAGTCCACTGCAGACTCTGAAAGGTGACGCAGGTTATACCATCGTTAACAAATTCTACAATGCATGGCCAGAAAATGTATGGCTGTACCCCCCAACTGAAATTGCTTTTCACGGGCCTGCAAATGATGTGTACTTTGAGTGACAGGAAAATAAAAGCACAAAATCAATGTTAATTTCTCGTTTTATCTTTAGCTTTAGTGACGGAACCTTTTTTTATAAGAAATTCTTTTGGATTCATAAGGAATATATTATACATTAGGGCATGCCGCTCAGCTAGGCCATCGTCTCAAGCCACGGTTCGGCGTAGGAGAGGATCGTACATTTTGGCCATAATGGATGAACCCGTTAGTCACGTGGATTTCTCGGAGCCCGAAGCCCCCTATCCTTTTTGAAAAAAAAACTTTTCTACAGGCTTGTAGCAAGCGATTTAGATTGATGTCATATATTGAATGCAAGGCAAAAAATACAAAAACTTAATATAGTTTGCAGTATACCATGCAAAAGTCTACAAAAAATAATTTCATTAATTAAGAAACGGCAACGTTACTATGCTCTATAAAACATTCCTAAAATAAGTGTGTCACGTAAATTCATCTTAAAAAGTAGTACGATTAATTATATTTCTTCTAATTAAATTCAATAGATGAATTTTGTTTCATGTACATGTATGTAGTTTATTCAACAGAAGATTGAACTCAGCCCTCATCTTATACCATTTTAGGATATTAATGGCACTTCCTAATTCACTTTCTACAGCTTGAGTATTTCTGACGTTTTGTCAGTATATACTTGTTTTTTTATTACATATATTAATCTGCCAAATGCATGTCCACATGAAATGTTATAATTGAAAATGAAAGTAGAAATAAAATTTAAAAAATTAGTTACTGTGTTAATCAGCTGTTATTTCCATTTGGTATCATTTCACCTAATTGTTTAACCATCTTCTTTTTCCATTATAATCATAGATATACCCCTTTTACATTTTTCACACATTGGCTTACATACAGACCGTTATAGCACTAACGGTTTACCATGAGCCCTAAGCAGATATCTAAATGTCAGCATGTCACGCGTAATAAAATAAATATATATTCTGATCATTTGTAGACACTTCTTTCTTGTGTGTATATAAGCTAGTAAAACAACAACAGCTACATAAAAATACCATAGATTAAATAAACAACTTACCGTCTTACGTTTTTAAACACTGGCGAGCTTGCATCATCATGTCAACATCCATTATCCACAAGTTGTACTTCGTTAGATTCGGACTATTTTCTCGCAGTTTATTATTAAATTTTGTAAATGCTGTTAAAATATATTTTATTTCGAAGTAAAGGTTATTTTATCAATAAAAGCAATTTAAATGAATTCCTTTAATTTTTAAAGATTTTTTGTAAATTTATTCTGCAAAGGACGACTACTCCCTTCGAAAACTGGTTCCCGGCCCCGTAACCTAGACGTTAATGGACGAGTTTACCATGTTAAATCCCCGTAGACTTTGAATTTGCCGCCGTGTGTATACACTGGTTGACCTCGAGGGTTCGGATAAACGGAGGAATGTTGGAAAAAAAATGATCTATTAATCGTAACTGGTTTAAATGCCAAGTTATTTATATATTTTGAGATATTATGCGAAAAGTGCTTTGAAATTTGAAGTGTCTGTGGGTATGATCAACATCCAACTTTCTGAGCCTTAAATTCGTCCTGAAAGTGAATCCGTTCGTGACACCAATTATCTGTCAACCCTCTAACATGACCAATTATTAATTTCATGGGATATCAATGTATACCCTGTTGAGGTTTAAATGACCTCTCCAATTCCATGGCCAATGTCATTTAATAAACTAACTTCTTATTTTAGAAATGTAGACTGGCGTTTACTAAATACTGGTATATTATAACATGATTATCATTAATTTAACCAAGGTGATTCTCCAGTAATCATATTTTTCTCTGGATATTTTTGAAAATAACCTTTGATGTAAAAATACTTTCAGTGAGAATACATGTACATTTAAAAAGTGTGCTTAGATTGTACGTCTGAGAGTATATGCAATATTTGTCTCAAAAAACATTGTAAAAGAAACAGTGAATTTTTTATTTTGAAAATATAGATTTGATCTATGTAAAATTGTGATGTTATCAATTTTTTTTGTAATTATGTGGCACTAATTATTTCAGTTTTCATTGTACTTGTATTTGGAATTTGTAATCCTGGAATTCCATGGATTTCCATGGAATTCCTTAGATTTACAAATATCTTGGAATTCCATGGATTTCCTCCGCAAATTTCCTTTCTGGAATTGTTCCGCTCTTTTCCAGGCTAGATTCAAAATTCCAAATCATTCCGAAAAAAGTCCCGTCCCAATACTCCGGAGAATTCCTAAGAATTCTGCAGAACAAAAACTCCATGGAATTCCATGGAATATGCCTTGGAATTCCATGGAAGTTGCGGAAAATCTACATTAGGGCCCCTGAACACAGTCTCACATTTCCACAAATATTTAGTAAATATGAAACTGACATTAAAAATTCTATAACCTATATGAAACAAAACACTTCAAATTCTTACAAAGAAATTAATTTGATATATTTGTTTTATTGTAAGATGTTGTGATGTTTATTACATACTAAGACCCGTCAAAAAATCCATTGAAACAGTCTGGAGCTGAACGATTTCGAGCCCTTAAAAACTTCAGGGGTGAAAAATGAAACTTGTAAAATGTTGACAAATTAATATACGTTTAATTTCTGTATTTTTTCTAAGGTGGCAATTGCGAAGATAACTTTCTTCATCGACGTAGATGAAGTGAGGAGTACCGATAATAAACTTCACGGCGGAAGATGTTGTCAGGGTGTGACGGGTATCCAGTGTACCAAGTTGTGTAAACCTGTACTCACCGTATGTCTCAAGTAAGTGATGGCTGGCTTTTCCGACTTTGATAACGTCGAACAAACGCACACAGATTTTGATTATTTTATTTTTATTGCTACAGAAACAGAAATCACTCCTGTCGGTCAGGTTTTACTACAACATTAGACATGGGACGACAGGACGTTATTTATGGTTCTAAACTCGGAAATACAACGAACCTCCAGTTTTTAGAAATTGATTCTTGGGTAAATCCTCCTGAAAACAAATATGTACAGCGGGATATTTTTTTTCAATTTCTTAGTAAACAAAAATTCAATAACTCTTTTATCTTATAAACTCAGAAAAATTATTTGGACAAGATATCAGTGAGAGTGGAAGATTTACAACACTCCTCTTCACCGCTCATCTACAAGACAGACTTCTTTGACAGTCTCAAAATAGGAAACAACATACTCTCTCAAAACTGGCAACAGAAGAAATTGGCATCAAATTTTTTTTCGGCCAACAATTCTTTTTCGTATGTTATTTTTTTTTCTCTATTCACATCCACTAAAAACGATTCTCACAATAAGACATCAACTTTAAAAACTATTTTTTTACTACAAAAATGTCAAATTAGACTGTCATTTCAGTATCCAGATAACGTACAAGGCGTACTGTTCTGAGGGTTACTATGGATCAGACTGTACAGCTCATTGTCCTGGTAATCCACAAAAATGTGTCGTCAACGGTCACACCTACTGTAAAATAGGTAAGCCATTTACATAATGTAAGAATTACACAATTTTTCTTCCTATATCACTTAGATTTTCGGAAATGAAAAAAATCTAAATTAAAATTATTCAGTTGGCATTATTCCAGATTTTACTGTACATTATTGTAACTAATCTTATATTATACATTATTTTGTTTAACTCCTTGTCATTTACCTCATAAATTTACCAATTAATGGCAAATTCAGTTAGCCTAAGTATTTCCTTATCCGATTCAAGCAACAAGAACAAACTTCAGAAAAAGCATTTAACTATACAAAAGCGTGTATACCAGAATAGTTCCAGATAACTATAATAAACACAGTGATTAATATGTTCCTTTTCCGTACATTTCTTCAATGTAAAGGTGACTATTATACCCCTCGCTTGAAAACCAGGAGGTATTTAGTGACTGGGGTGTCCGTCCGTCCATCCGACTAGATGTACGTCCGTCTATTACGAATTCTAGTACCATGTCCACAACTCCTCTTATACCACCGAATAAAATTTAATTAGACTTTCACAGAATCTTTGTTACATAGTGTCATAATGCTCGCGCTAATTTACTTTTTGATTTGTCACATATTTCGGTTAAACCATAGCAAAACCTGGACTCTACCATTTTATCTATGATAATGGAAATGATAGGGTTTTAAATTTCCAGTGTTTAAGTGAAGATGCAGCGGTGTTGTAACCACTATTGAAATAACGACCACTATTGAAATAATTATATCAATAGTGGTTGAGAGTGCATTTCAATAGCAAACATAGTTAGTAACCACTATTGAAATACGCCCACTATTGAAATAATTATATCAATAGTGGTTGAGAGTGCATTTGAATAACAAACATAGGTAATAACCAAAATTGAAATACGACCACTATTAAAATAATTATTTCAATATAGTGGGTGAGATTAATTTCAACAACAAACATAGGTTGCAACCACTAATGAAATAATGTTCTCACTGGAAATAAAGATTTCAATGTGGATTAAATTATGGTTTTAGGTATGAAGTATTATCAGCAACTATCAAAATAATTATTTAAATCACTTTTGAAATTATGATTTTAATAACTATCTAAATCTATGATCGTTTGAGGAAAGTTGATACAAACAAAATATGGATGCCTGGATTGATATGTATTTTTTGGTCTGATTTCATTGAAAATGATGTAAATAATAAATTTCTAGAATATAAAGAAATTGTAAACCTTCCGTGTTGTTCAAAATTTTGCCTCACCAAAACCACCCTTATTGATGTATACACTTTAATTATTAATCTATATATTTATTACCTAAAATCCAATTTTTGTGAAATTTTGGATAAAAAATTAAAAATTACGCGGTGAAACTTTTCTTTCAATACTTGAGCATTATGCAATTGAAATGAAAAAAAAATATTGTCAATTCTTGAAATGAATCTCACCCACTATTGAAATAATTATTTCCATAGTGGTCGTATTTCAATAGTGGATATTACCTATGTTTGTTATTGAAATACTTTCTCAACCACTATTGATATAATTATTTCAATAGTGGTTGTATTTCAATAGTGGTTACTACCCATGTTTGCTATTGAAATGAACTCTCAAACACTATTGAAATAATTATTTCAATAGTGGTCGTATTTCAATAGTGGCTACTAACTATGTTTGTTATTGAAATGCACTCTCAACCACTATTGATATAATTATTTCAATAGTGGTCGTTATTTCAATAGTGGTTGCAACACAGCGGTCTTTCCCTCAACCTTCAATAGGCAAACAAAGGAATTGGTGCGGTAAATTAATGTAATATTCTTCATCACAAAAGGGCATTCCACCGTATTTCAAGTTAAAGATAACACCTTGTATTTCCAATAAATATACATCGACTATTACTTCCAAACTTTAAATTACAAGAAAACTTTACAGGGCCTGGATACCAAATACTTAAACCTGCATATAATGCCGCATCGTGTTCTTCTTCACCCTATACCTATAGTTCTGCTGGACACGTTATTGCACGTGACGTAAATAATATGAATAATAAGGACCTTTGATCACTAATTCAAAAAAAATCCTATATAATTATATAGGGGACCCCTTCAACTGGCGTCCAAATTTCGTAAAAATTATGGATTTTTTAGGAAATTTCGCCAGGTGATGGACCAGAAATGAAAAAGAAGACATTGACAATTTGTCAGAATGGGTTAAATTTATCAGATCTTTGTTACAATATCCGGAAAATATTTAAAAAATAATGGAAAAAATCCGTCGTCAATTCAGTGCATAAATAATGGACTAACAATTGGTATGAAATATGTCAGCCAGCATTTGACTCAGTGATAAACTGTATTTGCTAAAGGTCTTTGTATCGACCATAGAACTTACGAAATGATGACTTTAAACGAGACTGCTGATATTCTTGTTTCGTCAACTTGCTTGTCAATAATTTACCTCGTTTTGGAAATTTTTCATACAGCAAGTGTTTTCTTCTTTTCACGCATAAGATTTTGCATAAATTCTGCTTCATATGAATATAAAAATAAGTCTATTAATAACGGAGCGCAATTAATTTGTACCCATGGGAATTCCAATAGATTGTTGAAATACCTTGTTTTCAAAAACCACATAGATGTTGTCAATCAGAAATTCAAGCATATTTGTCAACTTCAGAGTACTGATGTGTGCAATCAGAATCTGTTTTAACAAAATAATTTTGCAAATGACCAATGACGAGGTGAGTAAATTTACGAGTTCCATTTTTATTGAAGAAGCAGCTGTCAATGATATCAAAAAGCCTGGATCTTAATTTGTCGTGGGGAATTGTTGTGTATAAAGTTGAAAAGTCGTAAGTTTTTAAGCCGTTGATTTTTGTAAAGTCTTGGGATTTCAAAGTGTCCAAAAGTTCTTTAAAATTTTTTAGTATCCACATCTGATTCACACCACTTCTTGAATATATATACTTTAATTTACTATGAAACTTTACTGTAGATTTTGTTTGAAGATTTGAGGCTTTAATATTTTTAAAATACATGCATGACATGACATGATAAAAAAGATTATGAAAAAACTAGAGCCGAGCTCGTTGCAAAGCAACGAGTAGGTCTTCCGTCGGAGCTGCGGACAGGGAGAAATGACCTTGGGTCAAGGTCATGCCACGTTCTAATGTTAAAGCAATCTTTTAAGGGTAGATCTCATTTTATTTATGTTTTACTATTAAAAAAGATAGTAAAGGAATGTTTGCAACCTTGACCTTGTTAAAATGACCTTACGTCACACCATGACACACGCTGGTGAAAAGCAAAGCCAATTTGTGTGCTACCGTATTGACGAATTCTTAAGCTATACTTTTTTCGATAGGCCTTGTCAAAGCTAATACGTGTATGCATGTGTAATTCTAGGTATGAAAGCGTTATCCTTTCTTTATCAAAAGTCATGGTCAATTTTAGGCAATGTTTAAATTTTGGAAAAGCCTGTTAAACTTCAAGGTCAAAGGGTCAAAAATCATAATGAATTTTCAAAGGCGTTGACACGGGTAATACATTACATGTTTATAAAATGAAAGCTTTCAATAGTTATGGTCAATTTAAAGTAGTGTTATTTTTTAAGTAGGTCAAGCTCCAAGATCAAGGTCACGGGGTTAAAAATCACAGTATATATGAAAATCACATGTCACAAGTAATGCACATGTGAAATATGAAAGTCCTAATTCAACTCATTCAATAGTTATTATCAAGTTTAAAGTTCTCGTGACAGATGGACACTGTCAGACTGGTTGAAAAATAAGGTTTAATGTGCCCTAATAAAAAATAATACACGTTATTTGAACATGATAAATTGAGAAATACGAATAATAAAAAAATAGAAAATATTAGAAAAAATTGCGCTGAAGCTATATTCAATATCCGTGTTTTTCAACTGCTTGAATCTAAAAATATTATTTACCGTGTGTCTCTAGCACATTCCTTAAATTTTTCTACAGTTAAACATTCCTTACAATCGTTTTTAATAGTACTAGTCCTTCTGAGCCTGAATTTGAGATAATGCTGTATGTGTAGCACTGTAGCTCTCTGGTGATCCATCTCAAATTTTTAAGAACAGCTATTGTCATAAAGTTAATTTTACAAATTCATTTGAAATGTAACAGAATTGAATTTTATGAAAAGAATTATTTCTAATGCTTATTTTTAACATTTGCTAAAATTATTTACCTATCAAGTTAAGTTAAGACAGTAAAAAGGAATTTGTCACTCAGTATTTATCTAAGGAATAAGTGTCAATCCTCAACCTCAAAGAGCGTTCTACTTGTATGATAATTGCGTATGTGTGATAAAACTGCCGTGGACTATCCCGGACGTGAACATTAGATGTATTGGACATTCCGTATCAAGAAAATATAGCTTTACTCTGGACTGTTCCGAGTTACCAAAACATTTGTGTGTATGTCCATGTGTGAGCGTTTCAACCTGTCTTTGTTTTATGTGACTTGACTTGATTTATTTTTCAAAATACAAACTTTAACTTTTTATTGCTTGACTTTCGTTTTATAAATCATTTGTGTTACTTTCACCAATTATATTCTATTAACTTTGTTAACGTTGAATTGCTAAAAACAATAGTGTAAAAATCTAGAATGAAAATAATGAATGTAACAAATAAAATTATTAATTGTCGGAAATGCAATGCAAAATTCGGGAAATCAAATGCAGCGAAAACTGGTAACCCCCCCCCCCCCCAAAAAAAAAACTACACTGTAGTACATGTAGTACATGTACAACACACTTCGATGCTCGATTGTACACTCTAATCGGCACAAGTTTTAGAAATTAAAAAGTTTATGAATAAGAAAGTTTAGTGAGGCATACTTATCTTTGCCGACTTTTTAAAAAAATTTATTTGACAACCTGCGAATTAAAAAAAAAAGATCGCGTATGATTATTGGTTAATATTATAATGGGTTATGGATTAATCATGGATTTCAACACCAGCTCTGGCCTGCCATTCTCGAGTC